AGCGCCACTTCCAGCTTTTTTCTTTTTGCTTATGTGGTGCTGAGGAATTGAACCCAGGGCCTCATGCATGCAAGGCAAGTGCTCTACCACTGAGCTACCTTCCCAGCCCTGGAATTAATTGTTGATTATTGATATCAACCTAAGCTAATATATTCTTCCTTTCTCCAGCTTAATGCGAGGGAATATTGAAACTCTGTGTTCACATAATTGGAAACATTCCCCCATGATGGTAAAGAGAAGCCAAGTCTTGATTGCTTATTAGGTCTCAAAACTGATGTTATCTGCTACAATGTCTATTTGGGCACAGCAGTATTAGGTAAAAAGGTCTAGTCCACCAGTCTGATCTGCTCATCCATCTTGCTAAAAGTCTTTTAGCAGACTGAAGAACATATGACTCCAGGCCTAAGCAGTCAAAGTACACAGGAAATAACATTAAACTCAGAATTTGGATGGATGGTAGGTGGGAAGGAAGACATTTCTCATTGAATTATCTCCAGTTTTTTACCAAGGGTAGAGCTGGGCCCAGGCCCCAAAGCCTGTCACTTTCACAAACCAGCCCCTACCTTCTCCGCCTGAGCCTCAAGAGACTTGAGGTTGTTGGTGACATTCTTCAGCTCCTCCTCCAGCTCAGAACACTTACTGTGAATATTTTAAATACCGCAGGAGAGGAAAGGGGAAGAGGAAGAGAATAAAAAAAAAGGGAGAGAGACACACAGACATGAATTGAACCTATATGTATAGAAAGAGTTGAAAGGCTTATTGGGGAAAAGAAGTTCCTAGGTAACCTGAGCAAGCATCAACCCTCCTCCCTCTGTTAACATGTCAGAAGCTGGACCTTCTGGGACTCAAAATGTTCAGATATTAATAAAGAAAAGACCACATGAAAAAAATTACCAGGAACAAGTTATAATGGCTACTAGGGGATGTGGGAATAAGATACCCAACCCAAACAGTCCCCCAAATCACCCAAAGAAAGGAAAGACCCTGTGGGAGGCAGTAAAGCAACTAGGGAAAGAAAGAGATGAAAGATGCCAAGTAGGAAGAATGGAGCATTCCATGAAGAGATGGCAAAGCACTCAACAAGTCAACCAGTGGAGGGGAGGCAGCTGCAAAACAGAAACAAAAAACAAAGAAAACCACACCATACATGTAACTATCTGTGGGTTTAATGGTTAGTACCTTTTCTTCAGCAGCACTCAGACACTTCAGGTTCTGGTCCATCAGTCTGATCTGCTCATCCATCTCTCGGCAACGGCTGTTAGTGATAGTCACGGGAATGGCACAAGCCAGGTTGTGGGGAGGGAGAAAGGTCAAAAAGGAACACAGCAAGAAAAACAAGTAGCAAAATGAGGGGAAAAATTAAAAAAAAAAAAAGAAACAAAAAAACATGACCATGGTCATGATATGTCATGTACAGAAGAGGAAAATGCAAGGAAAGTACAAACATATATGCATCAGCCGACTTTGTTATACAAGGCCAATAAGATACCAAAGGGGGTATAGTTAATATATGCTCCTGATGTAAAATTTTCCAGCAGATTGGCAAAGTGACAAAAACAGACATCAGCTCTTAAGTCAGTATTAGGTACTTCAATGTCTCAAGAAAAAAGAGGTTTCGAGTAGAAAGACCCAGTAGGGTATTCCAAGGAATTGCTCACCATCTATCATCACTCTAAATTTGTAACCCTTCCCAGGAAGAAATAAGCAAGCCTCATTTGTTGTTACCTGTCACGTGTCAAATTAAGAAAGTAAGTCCAAAGCCATCCTTAGAGGCTAAAAAATCACCACAGATTAACTCCCATCCCCTAGGCCCTGTTTAACAAGGTTGAAGGAATGCTAGTTTTTTCATATTAGTGCCCCAAAGCCAAAGGGGAAGGACAGAATGGTATCTACGCAGCAGAATACTCACGACTCAGCCAGCTCAGCTCGTTCCTCTGTGCGTTCCAAATCTCCTTCAATAATCACCAATTTACGAGCCACCTGCAGAGAAGATCCCGGTATAGCTTTAGAGAAGCAAAGGAGCCATTTCCTTTATGAATCTTTGCAGAAACCCAATGTCACAGAAGAGAGAGAGCAAACAAATTGACAGGCTTACCTCTTCATACTTCCTATCTGCCTCTTCTGCAATGTGCTTAGCTTCTTTGAGTTGGATTTCCTGGAGTTCCATTTTTTCTTCATCTTTTAATGCCCGGTTTTCAATAACTTTCATACCTCTGCCAAAAAGAGAATGAATGTAGCAGTGATTCTGAGGATTTTATCAACAGGGTTGATGAAAGCAGGGCTGGAGGCACAGCTCAAGTGGTAAGTGCTAGCCAAACAGGCAAGCCCTAAGTACAAACCCTAATACTACCAAAAAAAAAAAAGGTGCCTTTTATTGTTTTTTGTTTGTTTTGTTTTGTTTTTGGGTCCTGCTGTGGGGCCTGAACTCTGGGCCTGGGCACTGTCCCTCAGCTCTTCAGCTCAAGGCTAGTGCTCTACCACTTGAGCCACAGTGCCACTTCCAGCTTTTTTT